CTCCCGATGGGCGAATGCAGGGGCTTCGGAGAGGAGCGGAGATGTAAGGTAGAGGCACAAGTAAATACCTGAGACTACAGTGTAATGACCCAGTGACCTTCAGCTTATGAATTTGATCTTTGGTGGTGCAAACAGAAGAACATTAAATAAAAATAAAGTCTCGTATGTGTAAGTGAGGTCACTGCATTGCTCAGAGTAAGGCTTATTCAGTTTTTATCAAGGCCTTTGTGTGGCTTTGAGCAGAGCTCAGTAACATACCGCCTTAAGCTTTACAGGCTAGGTGGGTATTTCTTTCCACCTTCAAGTACAGGAACTGTGTTGTGCAGAAATGAAGGTGTAATTCTCCTGACAGACTGGGTTTAATGTTAATATCTACCCAACAAAATCACAAACAAAACCCTACTCTAGATTTTTCTCTTGGGAATGTGGGGCACATCATGTGTCTGTGGCCTTCAGGAAGTCTGGGAAGTTTCAGTTATTGTGTAGATTCAGAGCAGAGCTCTGGCAGAGCAGTCCTGCTTCAGGCTTTAAACACACTGAGAATTGTTCCATGGTTTCCATCTTCTCAATCCTGCATTTCATAAATGGCTTCTCAGCCTAAATGCTGCTTTGGTTGACAAGCTAAAATGGCAATGCTACCTGTACTGTGTGAAAATTCCTTGTGTTAGCTGTACAAGTGTGTATCTTCCTGTGTGTACAGAAGGTCTGAAAAAGCTGCTCTTTGGGCATGCCAAGGTCAGCTAAGAAAACTAAAATATGCTAATTTTATTGTGTTTTCTTTCAGGCAAGATTTCATACCAGCACCGGACAGAATTTGCAGTATGGCTGGCTGGCCTATATGTTGGGAGACAGAGCTACAAAAAAGTTCACTGAATACAGCAAAATCTTTACAGTGGAGGGCAACTTATCTTCTGGGAAGGGCAAGCTTGCACAACAAATAGCAGAAAAACTAGGTACATTTTTTTTTCCCTATTTCTGCAATAGTTACTGGAACTTAACAGTCTAATTGTGATTCTTGTGTAAAGAAGGTTAGTTTACCAAACCAGCAGTTCTTGACTAGCAAATTATTAGTTAGGCAATGCCACAGTTAATGTGGAGGGCTTATAGCTAAGAGTCATGTTGGTGAGGTTTGCAATGATGATGGGATGATTGTCAGATCTGCAGGATACTTGTGTAAGTATGATTTGTTGTGAATGAAATTTCACTTCTAATGACGTCTGTTTGCTCACTGAGCTTCTAGCTCTGATGGAATCACTGAGCACCTTGAGAGGTAGGATTTTCTGCATGGCTGTATGCAGAACATCAAGGTGATTAGAGGATTGTTGGCAAAAAGATTCTGCTTAGAACAATAGCTCAGCTCACACTGGGGAGGTCAAAGGTGGCAGTACTTGAAATTAGGGTTTGTCTGCTTTGTGATGTGATTGACCAAAGGATTTTATGTGCTGTTTTCAAGTGTTATTTAAGGTAGAACTATATATTTAAATGAGCTGAAATAGATGTTTACTATAAACAAACAAAACCGATTATTTTGATTGGTGTTCTCTTTTTTTTTTTTTTTTTTTTGGTCAGGGATGAAATATTTCCCAGAAGCAGACATCCATTACCTAGACAGGATCACGGGAGATGGAACGCTGCTGCATGAGAAATTTAATGGTTTCTGTAACCTAGAGAGATTTTACAATGATCCAAAATGCACTGATGGACACTCTTATCGACTGCAGGCTTGGCTGTTTGGTAACCGTGTTTTGCAGTATGCCAATGCGTTGGAGCATCTGCTGACCACAGGTTAGATTTCACAGTGAATAAATATAATTTCTAAATTAACTTATGAGTGTGAGTTTTGAGTAAGCTGTTACGAATTACTTTGCTAGTATCTGCATTTTGGAATGAAAGGCTGTTATGTTGTTAAGCTTTTTATATTTTTCTCCGGCTTAGTGAGCACAGGCTCACAGTTCATTTAGAAAAATACCTTGCATATTTTCTGTTAGAACAGTATCTTGCATCATTTCTAGCGAAGGAAATACACACCAGTTACCCATTTCATTAGTTTTAATTTGGCAATCCCTGTTGATTATTGTCAAAAAGACATTTAAAACATACCAAGACAGCTGTGAGTTGTACAGCCTTTTTAAAACTCTCCCTAGACTTATTTCCTGATGGTGGCTTTTGTTCGGGCTTTTTGATTTCATTAAATACTGTTTTGTAGTGGTGTAATTTGAGTGTCTTCTGGTGAGAAGAGATTTCCTCTACCAACAGTGATTTACCTGTTGCTTGTGCTTTAATAAGTGTTTTCCAAAAAAGATGGAAAAGATGTGAATGTCTGAAAGTCTCAGACACAAAAGTAAATGTACTCCTTAAATACAGTAGTGCAGACAAAACCAAAAAACTGACCGTAAGAGCAGTACTGTCTTTAACTTTAAATGTTGCTGCCAGCAGTCTCTTTGATCCTTGCTGACTGGAACCTACTATCAATTGCAGGACAAGGTGTGGTGATGGAGCGTTCTCCCTACAGTGACTTTGTGTTTCTGGATGCAATGTTTAAACAAGGCTATATCCACAAACGATGTAAGTTACTTGCATGCAAAAGGAAGTTATTTTGCCATCATCTGTCAGATGTGTGGTAGTTTAGTTTTTAAAAAAGGAACAAAAAAACCCGTGCTTGGAAGATGGACTCCTGTAAACGTTCAGAGTTGTTTGCAAGGTGCTTAGCACCTTGCTGTTCCATGCATCAAGGACCAACCTCAAGCCATGAGACTTCCCAGTTTTTCTTCAAGACTTTGGTTCTGCTTATATGTTAAAGAATATGTATTCTGTTTAATACTTGTATCCTGTCAGCCAGAGACTCCTGTATTTCCCTGGAAATGTGGGTGAGCATGCTGAAGGTGACCAGATGTTCTTCAGGCAGACCTTGATCTTGTAGTATTAGGTAGGAGGTAAATAATGGGTCAACAGGCTTTGGCCTACTTGCCTTAAAAGGCCAGCTCTTTTGCACCTCAGAGCACAAATATTGCTCTTGTCTTCAGGAACAAAGATCCAGGAAGCTACAGGCCAGTCAACTTTAGCTTGAGCTGTAGGAAGATCAATGGAGCAAATCTTCCTGGAAGCCATTTCCAAATATAGGAAGATGTGAAGGTGATTGACAATAGTCATCATAGTCTTATGAAAAGGAGATTGTGCTTAAACAGTGGATAGTCAGCTCCTCATAGAAAGCTAGCTCCGTGGATGAGTGGAGAGCAGTGGATATTGTTTATCTTAAGCAAGGCTTTCAGTGCTGTCTTTCATAACCTCCTTATTGACAAACCGATGAAGCATGGGTTAGATATGTGGGCAGTGGATTGAAAAGTGACTGAACTAACTGCTGGGCTCAGAGGGTTGTGATCAGCAGTGCAGAATCCACTTGGAGGCCAGTAACTAGTGCTGTATCCCAGGGGAGGCTGCTGGGGCCAAACCAGATTTAAACAGGGTTTAAAACATGGACAGGACAGAGTGCAGCCTCAGCAGATTTGCAGATGATGCAAAATTGGAGGGGAATGGTTGATACATCATGTTTTTGGTGCTCTTCAGGGGAACCTGGACAGGCTGGAGACATAGTTGGATGGTTACTTTGTGAAGTTTCACCAAAGGGAATGTGCAGTCTTGCACCTGGGAAGGAATAACTGCAGGCACTGATGTATGCTGGAAGCCAACTGACTAGAAAGTAGTTTTGTAGAGGAGGACCCAGGGTTCCTGATGGACACCAAGTTGGATGTGAGCCAGCAATGTGCCCTTGTAGCAAAGGATGCCACCAGCATCCTGGGTGCCGCATAAAGAGTGCTGTCAACGGGTCAAGGGAGGTGATGACCAAATCTAGAGTATTGTGCCCAATTCTGGGGTACCAGTTGAAGGTGGGAACTTACTGGAGCGAGTCTAGCAAAAGGCCGCAAAGGTCACTAAGAAACTAGAGCATCCAGTGTATGAGGAGAGGCTAAAAGAGCTGGGATTTTCTTGACCTGGAGACGAGAAGGCTCAGGGGGATGTGTATAAATACCTGATAGTATTTATGTGTTTAATATGTGTTTATGATGGAACCAGTCTTGACAAAAAGCGGATTAAAATACAAGAAGTTCTGGGTTCTGTTTGACATTAAACATTTTCTTCTGTAGAAGTAGCTAAACCCTGGAGCAGATTGCCTGGGGAGGCTGTGGGATCTCTGTCCTGGAGGTATTGAGAACACTGGGGACCCTGCTCTGAGCAGAGTGGTTGAACCAGCTGATCTGTAGATGTTCCTTCCAACCTCAGTGATTCTGCGGTTCAGAGTTATGGGCACTGAGCTCCTGAGCAGTGCAGTGCCTTGTGGGCAGGATCATGGAGTCTCCATCACTCGGCTAGAAATGGAGCGGTTATGTGATGTACGTAGGAGACCAGCCACAGCCAAAACATGCAAACTTATAGCTGGGCAAATACTTGACAGTCTAGAGAAAATAGCTGTAAAGCCCAGTCATCAGCTGACCCCTTAGTAAATTGCTATTGAAATTCTTGTTTCTGCCTGTTCTTAGCAAATCTGGCATTTTGGCTACTCCTGAGGTGAAGGCAATTGTTTCCCTGACTGCCTCGTGTTTCTGCTGTCTTGTTTGATTTGTCTTAAATTTAGGAGGTGTGTATTTGTTTTTTAACACCTGCTGGAGTTGCAACTTCTTGCTGAATGAGTTTGAGAGCTGGTTATAATGAACTGTGTCTTACTGCTCTGTGTTGGTGGCGCAAACAAAGCCCAGCAACCCACAATTTATACTTAATATAAAATCCCAAGTACAAATAATGGATTGTACTGAAATCCTTAAACAGCGAACCTCTTGATTAGAGGTACTGCTGACTGCTGCTTACCGTGCGCCAAACAGAGTAGGCTTTAAATTTTTCCCAAACTGTTTGAATTTGAAAGCCTGGCACTAATATTTCTGTCTAAGTCGGTGAGTCATATTGAGGAAAGCTTGCTCTTGAGCTAGTTTAAATGGAGCCTGTGCTATTCATGTCACTACAGTGTTGAATAGATGCTTCCCCTGAACATATGTGGTTTCCCAGTCACCAACTATCACCGCAAAAATGCTTTAGGTCATTGATGTGGTAGAACCACCAAATTGCACAGAGGTGATAACTCTTCTCAGACACATTTCTTTGTATGGGAAGGTGAGGTCCTCCAGTCCTGTCTTCTGAAGTGGAGTCTGGTTGTGTTTATGGAGAGTAGGTCTGCTGTTGCTCACATAGAGCACAGAGCTACTGAGCAACAGTAGTGCATGGTGAGAAGGGGCTCTGGGTTGGTGACCTCTTAAAATACTTGCTTCACCCCAGCATGATTTTGTGTATGCATCGGAGGACAAGGCAAATGCCTTCCTGATCTTTTCATTCCCCCGCCATGGTGGGAAATAAGAGTACTACTTGCAAAATATTCTTGAAGTATGTGACTTTTTTCTGTTATCACCTTTGCCACACTATTGTCTTAGGATGGTGCTGTTTGTTTTGTGTATGAGGCTGTGGCAGAAGGCAGCCCCAGACAGTGGTTACCTCAGGTGACTGGAGTGTTGTAGTCTCTCCCTGATGTTTAGAGAGACTGCCTCTAAAAGATGGAGGAAAACCTAGGTTTGTCTAAACTTAAGTCAGAAAATAAATCTCCCCTTTGATGTAACTGATATGTTAGGTTCTTGTATCTCAGTGCTGGTAGCTTCTTAGTTTAATTGTTTTGCTTTCTGTGTCTGGAAGATTGTTTGTCCTAAAAACTTCCTGAATCTATTTGAGGAAAAGCCTACCCTAAAGTTGCTATATGAGCCAAGGAGACTACAAATACAAAGGTGGGGAATGTGATTTATTTGCAAATAGAGTGTGTTTAGGAAATGCAGGGAAAAACACTCAAGATGGTTGTAGATTCATTACCCAATAGGTTATGATTTTAATGCTGTTCCTGTTGCACTTGTCCTCATTTGGAACACGTATATATGTTCAGCTGGGTTGCCTTTAGCTCTCCAGCGTGTTTGGGTTTGTTTTCACGCAGGTGTTGATCACTACAATGAGATCAAAGAGATCAGCATTTCTGAATTCCTGCCGCCTCACTTGGTCATTTATATAGATGTACCTGTCCCAGAGGTGCAGAAGAGGATTCAAGAGAAAGGCGAGGTAATGTTATCTCTTGCCACTATTACTGCCTGTTAATGTCTGCTGTAGTCATGCCCTTATGTGAGTCCTCTGGGGTTTGCTGCAGAATTCTGCTTCTGAAAAGCTTCTTGTCCTCTGAGGTGTAACAGTTGTGTTGATGGTGACTGTGTGGGTATTCTGGTATGCTGACAGTTTCTCTCCAAAATGTCTTTTTTTAAGTCATGGTATTGGATGGAGACTACTGTTAAAAAGAAGAAAAAAAAAAACTTACTACTGTAGCATTGTCTTCAAATTACCTCTCGTTATAGCAAGATATTGGATTACTGGGTTATTGAAATAGTCTTGGATCATCAGAAAAGCTGTAGAGTGCTTTTGTATAATGACTAATCTAAATAAGGGTTTTTTGGGGGTTTTTTCTTCCCCCTCCTGTGATATTTGGACATGTGCTTATAAGTGTTCTCAGATGTGTTATGAGGATTAAATGATGTTTACCTTGTACCTTGTACAAAGGCCAAGGGAAATTGCAGTCAAGTGAAGTATTTAACTATGGAAAGCCTGATGAATTCAAAGAAAACTTTGATTTATTACTAAAAAATTCTCAGATCTCTTAAAAGCTTGGCAATGCCTGCTTCTTTCGAAGCATGTGGGTGTATGTTAGTGTGCTAGGGTGACCTAGTAGCATTTGGTTTTGCAGTTTCCTGCCCATTTAAGAGGGAGGCTGACGATTGCCGAAGGGAAGTGACTTCAAAGCTGTAAATGGAAGGCTGCCCTTGCTGCTTCGTGATCTGTGTGGCCTGAGTAGCTTAGTCTGCTGGTCAAGTGACTCTTCCCCTTCTGCCCTCCAGCAGTTTAGGCCGTGACCAAATGTGCCTCTGTGCTTTAATGAACAAGATACTCTTGTATAGGAAAACCATAGCTTTTTTGTTTTAGCAACTTCAGCGACAGAATTAGAACCTTCTTAATGTATCGTGGGAACCTGTGAGTTCTTTGCCCTTGTGAGCATAAAGGTCGGTGGCATTTTTGAGACCTTCCGGCACAAGTTGGTGGTGCAACTTGTAACTTCCTTGGGGCAGTGGTGCTGCTGAACAGTAGTGCTTGTTTGGGGATGGTATTTTTGGGAGTTCTGCCTTCTTGGCGGATAGAATGTTTGATTTTGGTATTCAGCATGCTGTAGTTGCAGGGCACTGGAAAAGAAAAGCCCTCCAGTGGGCCCAACAAACAGACTCTCATCCTTCTGACGTAATGGGCATCTTGGATGAATATTTCAAGCAGGAAATGTAATTTAATTTTAGGATTGAACTGAAGGAACATATGGTAGATTAGAGAAATTCCTGGCGTTTTGCAAATGTGGCATTAAAGTACACCATGGGGAAGATGAACTGTTCAGCAGCAGGTATGATATCCATGAAATTTCAAAGAAAGATTTTGGAGTCGGTGGTTGGAGTGGATGTCCGTGCACTTGGTGAAACTGTGGAAATGGATGCATGTTGGTGCCCTTGTTGAAAAGGCCGACTCAGACAATCTTCTTCTATTTTCTGGATGATTATATACAAACTTCCTTGAATGTGCAGGTAGCTAGGATTATCAGTCCTTGGAAAGCTAATCTTTTTGAGGCCCTTGATGTATGGTTCTCTTAGCTTAGGCAAACTCAGGGACAGTGAGGTGATTCCTGTAACAAACAGAAATAAATTGGAGGAAAGTTGGTCGGGTGTTTTTTTCCTTTATATTCTTCTGTTGAACCTGCCTTTCCCTTTCTAGATTCACTAGTGTGTCAGAAAAATCTTACTCATAAGGCTAATCTTTAAAACCATGGACATAATAGTACAGGGCAAAGCAGTGATTAATGCAGACTGACTAGTTCGTTAGGGTACTCCAGATATTTAATGCCGTGTAAGAAATTATCAACACTCCAAATGTCTTAATTCTTGAAACTTTCATTTATGTGTATATGGTTCACTTGGATGTTAGACTGCTAATACAAGAGTGAGTTCTTGGTGGATGGTGTAGCAGTGCCTTCTGCTTATGCTGGAATCTGCGCTGGTGGGAAAAGAAAGCAAACTCAATTCACAACATGTTTTCTGTTTCTTTTTAGCCATATGAGAAAAAGGTGTCTCCTTCGTATCTCCAGAACATTGAGGATGCTTACAAGAAAACCTTCTTACCAGAGATCAGGTTAGCAAACCAAAATGTTTTGTCTGTTAAGCTTTTGAGTAAAAATGTGCGCAAATCCTAAAATCTCAGCCAGTAGAAGCAAATAAAATCATGTCATAAGAAATCCTTATGCTGTGTGGTAGAACATTATGTCCTAATGATGGGGTATTGCATCCATGGCATACAACTATGTGTTCTTGTGTGCAGTTACCTCTGGCATCTGAGAAGCCTGATGCTGGTGTTACAATGCTGGAAGATTAAAAATGAAGTCTTTTTTTGGTGTGAGCTTTGTAAAACAATGTTTTTTGACTCAGATTGGGAGTGGGTAAACTGTTGTACGATAGTAAGTTCATTGTATTTCATTAATTGACCTACCTAATACATTGCAAAGTTAACAATCCCTGATCTACAGTGTGGTTTTTTCATCCTACAGTCTTGGGGCATTGCAGCTTTGCTGTCATGGAATCAGATACAGGGAAGCATAAACTTCTTCATAGTTAAAGAGCACCTCAAGAGCAAAGCCAGGCATCTGGTGTTACCTCTGCGAAAACTGTCTCTCACTTCAGTCTCACACTTCAGAGTGCTCTTTATGTGGTTGGTGTTGGCCCCTTTGCTTTTCTTCCTGTTAGCTTGCAACAGTGGCTGGAATGCTTTCTTGGAGTCTAGAATGCCATAGCTATAGCTGTGTGTTTGTTTTCATGACCTGAGGAGAGTGTGATGCGATATAAGCTCTTTTTGAGGCCTTTTTGGAGAGTTGGGGGTGTTTTGCTCCTAAAACCATGTTTCAGTTGTCATAGCTTTGGCTAGTTTCTCAGTAGTGATACAGAATGAGAGGAGAAAGAGGCTTTCGGGTATAGGCTTGTTATTCCCTTTTCTAGTTCTGTTTCTCCACCTCATTAGGTATACATCTGACAGCCTGACACATTTGCAAAAGCATTTGATGGAGTTGTTGGTGATAGTAAATAAAGACTGCACTGCTACCTGCTCTGAGAGACTAAAGGTGCTCTTCTCTGGCGTCTCCTGGAGTTCTCTAGCTGAGAATCAAGAATGTGTGCACTGTAAACTTGAGATGAGACTATTATAGTTTGCCAGCTATCCCAATTCTTATACAAGAGCTCTATCAAAAAAATCAAGGTGTCCTAAAAATCTAAAAGTACATGAATATAAGCAGTCTTGGTCTCATACAAATAGCTTTCTGCAAGGGAAACTTAAAGGTCACAGAGCCAGGCCTACTTTACATCGAAATGATTTCTAATCATGCAAGGTTCAGTGCTGAGCGTGAAGCTGGTTATTGAGTTACATTTAAGTCAAAGTAGATCTTCGGGTATATTGTTGCCTGCTTGTTTCCCTTTGCTTTCTTGCTCCATCCCCTAAGGAAAATCAGTGTAATTGTGCTGTCAGCAATTGAACTGAGTAACTTCATATTGAGCTTGTCATTCATACAGGGCAGAAGTTGTTGGTGTGATGTATGGTCAGCTGCCCCCCAGTGCATCCCCCGCAGGTTAGCGGCCAGCACACAGCTCTCGGAAGGGAATGATGGAGGCTAAGGATGGAGACAGAGAGTGGGAAGCCTTGGGACTGTCATCCCCCTCAGGGCAGAACTGTTTTGAATTTACTGCTGCTGCTTTGGATCAAATCGAGCCCCAGAAATATATGGTGGTGTTTAGTGAGGCTAAATCCTAGACCTGGTCCTGCTGTGATTTCAACGCTTTCCCCTCGGTCTGTACATGGTCAGTACACTTGTTAAGCAAGCACCCTCCAGTTGGCATCCTCATCAGCGGATGGGCTTACAGCAGCTTGTCAGATCAATCTTTGTGCTCAGGCTGAAGAAGGATGTCTCTGTCCCCTTGATGTGGGGAGTTGTGAATGTGTGAACTTCAGCTTTGTGCATCTCTGGACCTTACTGATGGCTTGTATATCGGATAAATACGCAGAAGCTTCAGCTGTCTTTAACTGTTTGTTTGACTTGTGGGGCGATACAGTGAACTATGTTGATGTGTGGCTGTGAGTGTCTCAGCAGGCTAAGTAGTATTTGATTTCCTCACTCTTGAGGATGACCAAAATCTGGTTCAAACAGGCTAAAAAGAGTTAATATAGACTGTTGAACAAACTCCTACGTACTTTCCATGTTCAAGCTTATGTTTGCTTGTTCTCTTGCTTTTCTTGAAATGCAGCAGGAAAATAGTCTAGTTTGTTCCTTGCAAAATTCCTGTTATCTTGTTCCATTTAATTGGAGAAATTGATGCTGCTTGAAGTGGTGTGTTTTGTAGCAGGTATTTGGCTATCTTAAAATCGGTGCTTCCTTTCTAGTCTGTGTTTATGAATGCCTTTTAATGTTTCTGTTGATAGTGATTTGTGATCCCAATGCTGTGGCCGGTACTACCCCATGATTTTGAGCAGACAGCTTTTGTTTTTAATTTGACTTTTTTCTTTCTTTTCCTGGACCAGAGCCCTAAGATTGCTAATGTTCTCTTTCATATCCAATACTGCTTCCACTGAGCAGCTGTTTTCTCTTAATGAAAGCCCTAATAATCTGCAGAGTATCAAGTGATTTGATCTACATTTTTAATGCAATTGCCAGTATAAGATTCTCCCTTGGATTACCAACAGTTGATATTGAAGACGTGAGTATGCATGCTACACTGTCACAGCAGCTCCCTTTGAAAGGAGGCCATTTATTTTCTTTCTGTGACTGAAGAGTTGCGTGAGGCTTTCTGCTTTCTTCTCAAGTTGAGAATGAACTCTTTAAGTAGTTCCTCTACTAGAAGCACCAATTGAATGGCTGACTGTAAGAGCTTGGGGGGTTGTAGGAATAAAAGGCATTTTGTAAACAATTTTTTTTTTTACCAGAGCCATTTTGACTGACCAGTGTTAATGCAGACCAGGAACTTGTTTGGGCTGTTGCAGGTTTAAGTTCTTTCGATAATGTGACTTGCTTAGAGCAACAATGTTTAGATTGCCAGCCTTAATGCTGATTAAACTTGGAAGCAGTTGTGCTAAGCAAAAAGTCTGCAGATTCTTCCCAGTGCTTTTTAGGTTTGCTGTTTGATGGACTGCGTTGAGCTTCCAGTTTATTTCCTTGTAAGTTTTTGTTAGCTAAAGGAAAGGTCTTCCAGGGCAGCTGGGGCAGGCTTGGGAACAGCTGTTAATACGGCTGCTCAGTAGTGAAACATGTTTATATAGAACCTCTTATCATGGCAAATGACTTTTCTAGGAAAGCTGCTGTACAAAGAGGAAAACAATCTTGTAACCAGGGAGCTATTACCTGTTTTAAATGTTTATCTACTTACAGATCCTGCTGCCTGTGTTGTATTGTTTCACTTAAATTCAGTATTAGTGAGCAGTGATGAATAATGTGTTCTCTTAAAAATTACCCACAGGTATTAATATACTTGTTACTAAATTAAAGGTCTGCTGAAGTTTTGGGTTAAGCTGGTTGAAAATTTCTCTTGGCTTAAAATAGATTGGGCAATTGTAGCTGGGGCAAGTAGTGAAATGCAAACAAATTAATAGGTAGGATTTTTTTAAACTGAAACTATGTAGATACCACAGGCTATTTGCCCTTTAAAAACAATTTTCCACCAGAAAAGAAGCAACTTTCAGGTCCAGTAGGAATTCTATTTCAAGAACTCTGTAAATGTTCTAAAAAATTGTAATGACTCTGGTTCTGTGTTTATGCCTTAACTTCATTTCTGCTTCATTTTGGAGCAGGGGAGAGGATGGGTAGAGCAGTTGTATCAGGGGAATTCAATTATTTTTCTTCCTTGCAGTGAGACCAGTGAAGTTCTGCAGTACATGGCAACTGAGACAGAGGATGTGGAGAAGGTAAGAGTTTGTTTCATATATTGGGGTTTTTTTTTAAACTTCCAAGACTGAAATGTAAACAGAACATATCCTCCTAAATAACAAACTTAGTAACCTACTTAATGCATTTAGTGTTTGCTTGCTATGGCAATGATCTGGGCTGGGTCTGTACTAGAATATTTAGGTGACTGAGTGTTGTTTTTGTCGGAGTAGAAATCCCACTCCCCCATCGTTTTTGCAAGATACCTGCTCCAGATAGTGGAGCAAGCAAAACCCCCTATAGACCACATGATTATCACTAATTTTTTAGTGTCTTTTGTCTGATGTAACTTCTGCTGGGTGTTTCCAAATCTAGTTTGTTTTTTCAAGCAAATCCTGTGAGGGAGATGGAAAAAGCATTTCCGAGTCCCTGCTGGGCTGTGCTGTGTTTGGCTGCTAAGTCAGCATCTCTGAAATGGCTGGTGAGATGGGCAAGGCTCTGCATAGCTCAGTTTGGGAACCAATTACATTAACTAAGAGGTAAGTCACCCCCAGCATTCAGCTGAGACTCGTCTGCCAGTGTAAGGTCTGTCTGTTGGCTCTTGCCATTGTGCAGCTTCTAATGATCCAGGTTGATGCACAGCTTCCTTTGTGATAAAATAGCTGTTGTTTTCTAAAAGCTAGTAATTATTTGGTTATAGCAAAGAGCTGGATAACCAGAGCTGTTATAAGCTTTGTAACCCTGGGTTATTCATCTGTATGAGCTAGTACGTGGTATCTAAACTGCAGTTTTTCCTCCAGATATCTTTGCCAGGCACATTAGCCTTGGACCAAGCCAGATAAATTGCCTTCTCATGGCTAGAAATAAACCATCTCTTATGGGACAGGATTAACACAAGATCACTGCTTTTTCCTGCTCAGTTTTGTTACTTTTTGGAGTAGGTGTAATATATTTGCCTTACTTCTGCAAATGTTCTTGCTCATGGAGGGTAACTAGTGGGATAACAGAAGCCTTTTCTTTCCCATTGTTAGCTTTTCTCTGTAGCTGCTGTCCCCTGCAGGAAAGAGCAACAAGCTTTTTGTAATTCTGGACAAGTTTGTAGTGGGTTCATTTCAGTTCTAGGGATGAAAGTTACATGGTGAATCCCTCGCAGCTCACTTGAATTCTGTAGTAGCAATAAGGATCTCAGCTGCGCTAAAAATATCTTTTCAGATACGTCTTGCTGATTTTAATATTTTCTTCCTCTGTTTCTTGTTTGAAAGCTCTTCTAGAGTCCACTTAATGCTCTCCTTTCCTCTGTTAGAGGGGAAAAAGAAATATGAGGCTGGTTATATTGCTTTTTGCTTTAGGAAATCGGTCCAGACCTTTGCACAGCAGTATGTGTTTAATACCTAAATCAGCTGGGAGGAGAGGTGGCAGGGTGAGATGGAAAACTTACTTGTCTGGGAAGGAGAGGAGTTTGGGAAAGCTTCCCTAAGTCAGATGCAAAAGGAAAATAACAATTTTTTGCAGTGTACCAGCACCTGTCCATGCACCTGCACTACGTGTCACATTCAGCAGGTAGCAGCCTGCCTTACCACAGAGGTTTGTGCGTAGTTTTGTGAGGGCACTTCCATCTTGCCATGGGACATGTCTTAGAGCCTTTCCTAGCTAAGCCTCCAAGTCAGTGCTTAACTAAAGATCCATAAGCCCAACCTTGGCATTCGTAGTAAGGGAGTTTTCTCACTGCTTACTGCCTTTGGCGTTCTTTGGGGTGGGTGGAACCACTAAGAAGAGCATATTTGAACATTTCTAAGTGTTGCAGGAGGCAGCCTATTACTGCTGTGCTCACTTGCTGATGAGCTGGGTTTGACTTGAATCAAGTTAGTTTTCTTTGCAAGAGCCCATATGGTGCTGTGCTTTAGATCTGACCAAAACAGTGTTGATAATGCACCAGTATCTCAACTATTGCTGAGCAGTGCTCACACAGCGTCACAGGTGTGTCTGCTTCTCACTCTGCTCCCTGTGATTTGGTGTGCAGAGGTTTGGGAGGGGACACAGCTGGAACACCTGACCCAGACTGACCAGAGGGATATTCCACACCACCTAATGTCATGGTTAGCAATAAAATTGGGGGGAGTCTTTTTCCAAACTAACCATTGCTGAGAGCAATCCTGGGAGCAAGAGCCTGGAAAATCTGGATCTTTGAGCTTGGTTCCTGCTGTTGCAGTTGGTGATGGATCTGTTTCAGTTGGAGTCTGCAGTAAATTTCTCTCTTAAGCCTGACTTTGGAGGAATGAACTGTGGATTTTAGTTGGCACTCTACATGACAATAGCCTGCACCCAATATCCTCGTGTTTCCATGCAAAATAAGGACTTTCCGGGTCCTAAAAATGTAACCCCCATTAGCTGCATTGCTATGTGTTTCTAGGCCTCTTAGTTCCCTTTATGATGGTATGGTTGAGTGCTACATTTTGGCTGCATCTGTCCAGAAATTGGGTCGTGGCTGGGTTTCTGAACACTCATGCATTTGATAATAATTTTAACTAGATAATAATTTTTAACTAGTAGACTTGTGAGGCAGTTTGAGTTTATACCCACAGAAAGGGCTGATGGCTTCAGCACGACATCAGATATATAGAAGTTCACTGTGAAATCACACGTCGAGGAAACTGCTTACATTTGGAGTAGTGCAAGATTTCTACTCTTTGAAAATGAGGTGGTTTTGGAAACTTCAAAAAACCAAAGGCTTTTCCCTTTGTTCTGAGATCAACTGTATTTATGGAGAGAACTACCTGGGACCTTTCCCAGCTGGCAATTCTGACAGTAATCCTTCTGTATCATTTTCAGGAAGGGAAAAAATGACTGAAACCTTCACTTTTTGTCTTAGTCCTGAAATTACTGTCTCCAAATAGCTCTCAAATTTCTGAGGTTTCAGTCTTGTGAGTACCCCCGTGAAAAATTGGGAGCGCAGCCTCATTGTTCTCATGTGCATAAAAAATAAAATATTGCTTTAGTGCTAGCAGGGCAGGGGTGCCCTTGCTTCTGTGGTAAGTATTCCTTGTCAAAGTTCACACACCTGCAGCCACAGTGAATATCCAGCTGTGCAGTGAGAAGCATCCTCTGGGGCAAGAAGGATCAGCATCCCAGGAATAATGTTCTCTGTCATATTTTTAGATTATTTTTTTGAGGGTCAAAAATAATGAAATGGGAAGAAGCTGAGATTAAGAAAACAAGGTCAGGGTGTGGATGAGAATACTGAGCACTTGTAGTTAGTTTTTTCCAGACAACGTAAAAGAAAGAGTAAGGTTTGAGAACCATGGTGTTTCAAGAAGGTAGCCATGGATGTTTGGTAGAAGAAAGAAGACAAAGTTGGGATGGGGGAGGTGGTTTGCTTGTTTTCTCCCCTTCCTTCTCTGTAAGCATGTCTCAAAGTGATCAGAATAAAGTGGTTTCCTCCCTAGATATTTTTTGTAGCCAAAACCACTGCTAGAGATCTTATTTTAATCTTTTAAATCGGGGTTTAAAGTCAGTCTAAAGCTCTTACTGCTTGACTGTGGAGTCTACCAAGCTCAGCAGTCTTGTCATCACTGTACATAGGGTCATCCATAGGGTCATCAGTATGCACTGATGTAGTTCTTAATTTGGTTGGACAAATCTGGACTAGAGGACGGATTATTATTTTGAAGTTTCCAAGTACATGATGGTATCATATTTTCATTGTTAGATGTTAGCTATAGAGGTTGGTACTCTTTCCACTTCAAAGAATAAAGTTGGTGTGTTTCCTTTCTGTTCAGATTCAGTTTACCTTTGGAATGAAATAATTGAAATTTGGAAATAAGGGTTGGCAGGAGAGATTTGGCTTTGGCTTGTAGGGTGTTTGCTTACACAGGTATATCCTGTTGATACATAGCAAATAATCTGTAGATTGAATGCTAGCTAACAGTTAAACATTGCTATGTGATTTGGGAGCTTAATTTTTGTTATAACCTTATAGTTAATGGCTTTTGATCATAGCAGACATACACAACTTAGAAATGACTTTTCCTGAAGTGTGTGTGTTAAAAAGATCAGCTGCGGTTTCATATTGTAATTAACATTGATTGTAGTGGCTAAAGAGTAATAAGTGCCGAAATGGCCTTTGTTAGGGTGTTTCAGAGTGCTTTTGCATGAGGATAAAACTGGGAATAGAAAGTTAGTTACATGTTGGTTTAAAATGTTTTTTAAAGTCCTCGACATTAAAAAAGCGGTGAGGGTAGAAAGGAGATAACTTAAAAACAATTTTGGTTAAGTTTTTAATTCCTCTGTGCTTGTGGATAGTGTGTTGTATTTGTGTATCTGTGTTGTTCAGTATCACCAGCTTGCTTAACTGGAGATGATGGTGAAGGTGGGAGGCTGCTGACGGACCAGCTTTGTGCCGCCTCCTTTGCCGGTGCAGAAGAGAAATGCTCCAGAGCTAGCCTGCGTGATGTGGGCTGAGCTCCTTCCTGCAAGCTGTGGTCTGAACTCCGTAGGGGTATAGCCTGCATTGCTCCTTGTGTCCATCTCTTGCTTAAAGAAACAACCTGCAAGGAAGGAGTTTGCGGAGAAGTCAGCTGACAGAGCAGCCTTTTGGGGTTTGGTGGTTTTGTCCCCATAAATGATACGAATAAGAACAGTGTCACCCTCTGCCCGCTGCCCCCCCCAGCTCTTCCAGCAATAGCACTCACCAGATCACTGTGAAACGAGCTTAGAAATTGTGAGCTGTTTGTATTGGCTTAGTTGCAAAGATTATGGAAAGGGGTCTCATTATTGAAGTTGTTTGTTCTAAATCCTGCCGTGCTCTGCGGTGTATTAAGACCTGATCTCTCTTGGACCTTATTACAAGTTGTGCTGCGATCAGGTTCAAATCATTCATTTGCTATAATTCCCAGGGGGTGCCAGGGCATTCCTTATAAATTAAGAAGCTGATCTTCTAGCCTGGTTGGGAGGCTGATACCATTGTTAATGAGCTGCTGGGACAGATATCTTCTGATTTTCTTTTTCCCCGCAACATATTCTGAGCCCTGTTGTTAGCAACTCTATTATTAGTCCTGTCATCAGCCATAGTGGTGAGTTTCCAAAGCTTTGCTGTGGAGTAGAGAAATAATTGCTTTTGCATAGCTAATGGGAACTATGGTAGAGGTTTGGCTTTTAAATTAAATAATTAAAATAACTAATGGATATTTCAACTAACTTACCATACGCTTTTCTTCCTCTTTACATTATTGAATGCTTATCTTGGGGACTTACATTACAGCAGTTTGGTGGGAAGCAGCAGTTTCTAAATGCAATTGTGAAAACTCTTCTAAATGTCTGTGGTGCAGTTTTCTCTAGTGGTTTTTGAAGACTGAAACATTTTTCCATCAACAGGTGGATTTATTGTCAGCTTTTTTCTTTGTGTGAAAAGGAGGTTTCTTATGCTCTCAGCTACAGTATCTGGCTTGCCCACTTTGCCTCTTTAAGACATCAAAAATGGTTAAAAAGCATCTAAATGTGCTCAAAGTTTTAAATATGCTTTGATGTCATGTCAACCATGTTTTTTTAAGTCTATCAGCAAAATTAGTCTTTAAGAAATATAAATGCCTTAGGGAAAATGATCATGCGGTCATCTCTAAGCCATTATTTCTTACTATAAAAACATAGTACTGGTAATAGAGTAGACCTTTATAGCCAAACTACTTTGTAATAGCACTTTGTTATTGCCTTTTAAGTGGTAATAAATGGGATTTAGTGTTTGCTGTGATTGCAGGGAATAATTATAGTGGATTTAATGTACAGTAAAGAACAGAAGCATTTTTAATTTATTATTCTGTCACTCACTTCATTACTGGCATCTGCTTACTTGTTGTCAATGGATCAACAATGTGTCATCAGGATTTCAGTCCTGACCTCGTAGCTTTATCTTCTGGAAAAGGCCTCTGAAAAGTAATGTTTGGAGCTGTAACAATCTACTCCTTTCCAAGCTGCTTCAAGGTACTCTCTCTACCTCATCATGTACCTTAAGTGCATCTTCCTGACACTAGTTTGGGTTTCTTTTAGATCTAGTCAGTTGTGAAAGCCTCAGGCTTGTGTTAAGCAATTACCCAGTGGTCCAGCAAAGATTTGTTTTCTGGTGGAGAAAACACTAGGCTGTAAATGAAGCTCAAATATGGGATTTGTAAGTTTGTGGATGCTGAAGAAATGATTTGCTGAGCTGGTGTTACTTGTTTGAATGGTTCTGGGTGCTGAGCTGTGAGTTTTACCTTTCCTTTCTGCTTGGGGCATGTGCATGCATGGGTAGGTCCTGATGACCGAAGAAATCGTGAGCCTTTGGACTTCCATCAGTATAGCTACTTCATCTGTGTTTGAGTTTTTTCCAGCCTGAAATGTGCCTCAATTTCTGTGATGTGAACCACACATAGCAACACCACGAGGCAATTGCCACAACTGCTCCTCAACCTGTCTCAGTTAGTATGCTACCGAGCCTTTTTTGGGGGAAAAAAAAAAACAAAAAAACAAAAAAACAACCAACCAACCAAACAAACAAAAAAAACCCCAAAAAACCCACCCAAAACAAAAACCAAATGGGCTACCTATGTAGCATGATGGTTTTTGTTTGCAACAAAAGGGAGTCAAATTTAGACTTAATTCTATTTCCTCCTCATTCTACCTTAGAAGTTGGGTTGTACTTTCTTTGTTTCCTTTCAGCCCCAATGGCAGGTTGAAGAATCTGGTAAGATTTTGGAAATAAGGCAGCTCTCAGCTGATTTATTCCCAGTTATCCTCTGTTTACCAAGGCTGAAAGCACCAAGAGCTTTAGAGCTGGCCCCATGTGTCTGCCCAGTGCTTGTGGCAGGGCCACAACCTCCAGAAATATGTCTGGGAGATGATGTGTTAGGTCTAAACATTTGCATGGTTAATACAGCTTTATCAGTGAAGCCTTTTTGCTGGGTGACTTGTTTAATAATATATTTTGATTCTTTAATTGATTTTTGGGGGCATGTTCATTGATCTTTTTGGATGTTCTGATCCCCTCTTAGTGTGATTTTTTTTTTTTTTTTTTTTTAAATCTTGTGATTCCAGGTAGTTGAAGACATCGAGTACCTGAAGTTTGACAAGGGGCCATGGCTGGAGCAGGATGATGTTTCTTTCCATCATTTGAGGCTTTAGTAAGTATGTCTTCCAGTAACTGAATGCTACTGAGCATCAGATCTCAGGGAAAATGGTTAAAGCCTTGAGGTTTTTCAAGGTATGTTTATATTTGCCCTCTGACTTGTTTTTTTTGTCAGAAGTCAGCAGTCATCGCAGGCTTTTGTAATATTGGTGCTTGGCACTGTAATACGGTGTGGCATTTTGCTGCTGCTAATTGGTTAGGCAAGAGACTGTAGACAAATGGATTCCGTTCCATTAATGAAGCACAGGAAGTCTTCAGGCATTTCCTAAGTGCTGTGACCTGTGGACCTTAGGTATTTTTGTGAGCACTTCTGTGCCTGGGTGATCACAGGAAAGCATTTCATTTTAAAGCAGAGCATTTATGCAGTTGGCGTAGTGGTTTCTTTGCTGCCCTGGCAGCATGACATCCTTCAACAAAGCTTGTTGACAGAGCAACCTTGTAGCATGTTTTATATGTGGAGCTGTTTAGATTGGCTGTGTTTAGAGTTTTTTTCCTAAAACTAGACTGACTTCTTTTGCTGTCTGCTTTTAAGTATCTTTCCATCAGTCAAGAAGCTGGCTGAACAGAGTATAGGGGGGGAGAGGAATCAAGCAAACTTGGGTGACTGCTCAGTAAGTCCCTTTTTCCTCCTTTCCCCTGACTTTCAGTAAATAATCCTAAATAGAAGCTTTAGCCCTAATTCACAGATGAAGTATTGCAGTTCTGTTGTTCATTCTCCATAATAATAAGGGGGATTGTAAAGTTTAAGGGTGGGGATTTTTTTGTTCAAGATCCTTGTCTGTTTAGCTGGATGTGAAGAGATCAAACTCAAATAGTACAAGTGCCTTGCTGGAATAGAATCAAATTTGATTATTATAATTCTTTGCAAATACTCCATGATTATCTGTCCTCCAGTTCAGCTGTGGTGTGCTACTGGTGGGGCTGCATATGTCCCCACAGTAATGCTGGAAAGAGAGGTAGCCCTCCAACCTCCAAAATATGTTGAACCAAACCATTGATGTGTATGTAAAGACGTGAGATCAGACCTCCACTTTTATCTGCGTGTTACAGATGAAGCATCAGAAGTGCTACTCCAATGTCATGTGGATAAACAAAATGTTCTCTGGTTAACCCTGTATACACAATATGTCTACACTTGTAACGCTATTAATAGAGAGAAGCCTGCACTGAAGGGAGATAGGCTTCCCATTTTGCTAGAACTTCATCTTTAGACTGCTTGTACAGGTAGTGCAGTATAGTTACTACAATTTTAAAAACATTAAGAATTATATTCTTTTCACATTAATTTCTGGTTATCTCACTGGTTAATAGAAACAGGGATTTTTTTAAGTTCAATATCTGTGCCTGAATTTCTCCAATTTCATTGGAATAGTAAGTTAAGCTTCTTTGCAGACTTCTGATATTCTTTGCCTTTTACCTTTCTGTGCTATTACTTCAAATGCCTCCTGCTAAAATCAGAGATAATGTTCCTTTTCTATGGCCCTTCTGTCAAGGGGTGAAGATAGATTGCAGAAGAGCAGTGTTGGGTGGGAGAAACAAGTCCTTATTTGGATGCCCTTTAAATATGTAAGATGAGGTTTCTTCGTGTAGTAATTAAAGGATAGCATCTGGTGACTTAGACCCTGCAAAACTATCAATCAGATTTCCTTTGAAACAGCAAATACACTTAAGTTGCTTGTTTTCCTATAGCTTTACTCTAGTGCGTGTATTAAGAAAGGATTATTCATTGCAGAGTGTAGGAGGGAGTTAAATGAAAGCATACAATTAAAGAGCAGTATATTAAGATATTGTGTGAAAATTCTACCTCACAGCTGTAGAAGGGACTAAACTGCATTGTTAAGGACTCAACTTTTAATTGAACACTGGGGGAGGGTGAGAGGGTCTCCTGTACAAGGCTCTTGTCATTGTAGGTAATACAAAATTATTTCTTCTGTAGGCAGCGTGTGGCTGTTTTTAAGATTTTACAATGTGACAAACTAATTCAAATGATTTTATGGTTTGAGTTCTGCTGTTTCCCCCTTGCCTTCAGAATAGCTTTGTCAAGATAGCATTCGTATTTGGACATGTGATGAACATGCTCGATGTTTGCTGTGAATCTTCATTTGGTGCTGGGGTATTAGGGCATTGATCAAATCTGTAACAGCAGATCCTGTGCTGATCTTGTGTTCATGCCTTGCTCAGCTGAGGAAATCGTGGGCAATACGTTGGGCAGCCTGGGAAGAGCACCTTTATAACTTTTTTACAAAAATATGTAGGTTTGGACATAATCTTTTCTCATGTTACCTCCAGAAGTGCAGGATGGGCATGAGTCTCCTGTCATAGCTTCACTTGTGAAAACATGCCAGGCCCAGTGCCAGACAGAGGATGAATGTGTAAGGACGGAACAAACACCGCAGGGAGTCTGCCGCATGTCTCCGGCGTTGGAATTGCATCCCAGAGCATCAAATGCCACACTTGGGTGCTAGTTCACGAACGGTAAAGCTGATGCTTTCCTCACTTGTTCCAGTGCCCAAACAGAAGAGAGCTTGTTGTACCTAGCCTTCTGCAGATTCGCAGGTGTCCCATGCCTATGTTAACTTTTCCCTTTGGGAAGTTTTTTAGCATGTTGCTTGGTGGACTGCCTGTTCCATATGCTGGCAGATGCTGCCCTCTCCTGGACGTTTCTGGAAGGCTGCAGCAGGTATTTATCTGTATTTCCATCTGCAATTGCCTTCGCTGACCTCCCTGCATTTTGCACAGCCCACTCATCCTGACTTGGGCTGTTTCAGACCCGATGCTGTTGGGGGGCAGCACGCTCTGACAGGGTGCCGCAGCGGCAGGCAGGGTGTTGTGGTCGTAATCCTGCTCCGATGCTGCCTTGGCTCTTGGCAGTTTCACCTCTTCCACCTTCAGCTTGTACCAGCACATCTCGGGGAAGGGGGTCGATGGGCAGGGCTGAGGATAACTTTTTCATTGCATGTATATAGGGTCTAATGCACAGAAACCCCAGCAGGGCCTCTGACTACTTTGGTAATGCAAATAAGTAAACTAATCAAACCAGTGAGCCGCACCCATGTAAAATCAGTTGCATAATGGTACCTTTTATCTCCCTGCCTTGCCCTTGAGTACTCTCTCCCTTGCCCTAATAGAGCGGTGTGGTTGTGGGGCTGAGGCATATCTTGGTAAAAGGTTAAAAATGTATGTATTTGCTTATGTTAGCTGGAGGGATCTCCCAGAGGATGCTCTTCACATCTTTCTTTATTGCTGAATCCAACAGAAACCATTCTGCTGGCTTTTTGAAATGTCTCAAGGAGTTCCTCTGTTGCCACTGCACTGTCTCAAGCATGTTTTTATCTGTGCACTTCCTGGTGAGATTGTGTCTGTCTATATGCATTACAAAATAAATCACGTTTTGGAATGAGGAGCTGTAGTTTGTGTAATGTCGCCTGTGTTACTTTACCAGCTGGTGGGGGGAGCTTACTGCATTTGACTTGTTTCATCAGACAAGTCCACAGCTAAATCTGTTGCATTCCTTCAGCTCCTTCAGAATTTGCTAGAGAACATATTTTGTATGGACAAATCTTCAGCTTTTTTCAGCCACCGCTAATTTAATTTTAAAAAAGATAGGTGTTGGGATTTGTTTTATCTTGATGAAAAGGGGATCTATTTCCATTTTGAAACAATCTAGCCATGAAGTAGTTTGCCACTCATCTGTTCCATTTTGTTCATTAATAACTATCAGTGTGCCACAAACACCGTGTAGTAAATCGTCCAGTATTGTATTTGGCAGGACATCAGACATACATTTTGAGGTTGTTACTGAAGGACCTTGTATATGCAGTAACTAGCAATTTCTAAGTTCTCTTAACATTGGTTTAGCTGCTTGGAACTATTGCTGACCCCAGAGCTTGGCTCCCATTTCCTTTGTATGTTTTGCTCTGGTGAAATAAATGTTGCAACAAGGAAGCATGGGAGTGAATGAGGGAGAGCAACCCTTCAGCTCTGTTTCGTGGTGTAATCAAGCGTGCTTAGCAAAGGGGAGAAGTGTCTGTGTTTGAGTGTCTGTCTTGTCTGATTTCAAATAGCAGGACTAGAAGTGCTTGCAAGAGGTGTATTGGACTTGCTTTTGAAACTTTTTGTCATAGAGACTCCAAAATCTCATAAACCATTCATTGTAAAACTTCTGGCACTATTAAAAACTGCTTCCTTTGGCACCTAACTTCTCTCTTGCTTCAATTGAAAAGGTTCTTTTTAATTTCCTATTTGCAGTGGCTGTTCATAGATTTGAACAGCTGTCGTTGCACCTTCTCTTGCAGAACTGCTTTTCTTGGAAAGCTCTTTTTTTCCTTGGCAGTCATTGTGAGAGTTTATTGTTCATCAAGGGAGTGGCTGTGGTTCATCTCAGGCATGGTATACCTGTTGTGCCTAACCAAACGGCGGAGTCTTGAGTCCCTTTGGCAGAAGGTCTGTATACCATTGCCCTGCCTTTGATAAATTCTGGAGAAAATGGCAAGGAAGAAGTAACAGGCAAGGAGAGACACAAGGGGGACACACAGCCCATGACTGTCCTATGTGCCTGCTGAATGGGCGCAGGAGCGGAGGAGGTCAGTACGGTAAGAGTTGAATGCAGGAACCACTTCTCCCACCCAGCTCTATGTGCCTGTGGCATGAGTCAGGAGCATTTCTCCTTTCCCCTGCTCTTACAAGCATGGGCAAAATCGTGAGCATATCACATGCTCACTCGCGCATGTCGTACCCTACCCACAGGAGGCAGGGAAGCTGACCGCAGCAGGGGTTGAGGAGCCCTGGCCAAGGTAATAAGGGTGTGAATAGCAGAGGAATTGAATGCCACCCACTTGTTCAGATTCAAACCTTAAACACAATAACCAATGGGTGAGAAGCTGGTTTCAAGGTCTGTGAGAAAATAATCTGTTTTCCAGTGGGATCCACCTGCTATTTCTCAAGTTACTTGTGTGTATAAGCATAGAATTTAACTTGGGATGCTTTTGTGTTGCTGGCTCCAAGCCTCTTAGACCAGTGAATGCTTTTAGGTAGGAAGTGTGGTTTTCTAATACTGTGTATTGACACTTCAATTTTTGTGATTATGCCAGCATCGGTTGTTGAGAAATCATGGGTCAGGCTATACAAACTGGGGCTTTTTTGTTTGGTTGACTGGTTCATTTTTTTGCCAAGCAGTCTACTTCCTCTACCCTACCTTGCACCTTTAGCAAATAGGTTCGTAAGACTTTCTGATGTTCATTGTGGCAGGCAATCTTGGGATTTTGTTTTATACAGAGATGGGGGGAAAAAAGCTACAGTCCTGGGAACAGAAGTTCTAGAAAGTATATCCAGCTGATACAAGAGCTGCAGTAGCTTCAGGACAGCTTGTAATACTTGTGTGTTGTCAGGTTTCTGCAGGTTCCCTGTAAAATTTGTGTATCCTTCTTGTAAGTTGCCTGTAAAGGAAACGGGACTTCCTCCTCTGAAAAGAGGCTGGAATCAGTCCTGATTCCTCATACCTGCTTGTGCATGTTGTACTGGACAAAATGCATGAAGTAGGTGTGTAATAGGTGCTTTTGTAGACGAGATGAGCTACCCATTGCTGTAACATGAGTGTGGTTCCTATGCAGCAATTGGAAGAACTCCAGCTAATAAAGTTATGGACTGTTGCAATGATGGTGAGCCAAAATCTAATGTTCCTGCAGTGTTAGGACCATGCAGTCACTTAACTGCTCTCGGTGAAGTTTGAAATGTCACATAAGATTATGGGTAGGTAAAGCGTGCTCTGGGAAGCTGTGCTCCTACATGATGAGAGCTGCTTCAAGAAAATACGGTTAAGTGCCAGAAAATAATAAATAGTGATACTTCTGTGCTGAAGGAGAGAGAGAAAACAAAGGAAACATGAAAGGTGCCTTTAAATGCTTCCTGCTG